GCCAGTGCAAGCTGTTGCATCCAGGTGGTAACTTGGAGATAGTGAAGAGCATTGTTTCAGAGCCCTTGTGGGTCACGGCATGCGGGCCGCCCCTCCCCCCGCCCTCTCTCCAACGTGTCATCTCGTCTCTTAGCTTTGTCCCACCTCAAGGCATTCTGTGTGCAGTTGTTTCTGTCACACTGTTCTTCCTGCTTTCTCATCCAAACCACTTCCCTCCCCGCGGTGGCTCAGTGACCCCTCAGTTTAAATAAAACTTGCTCAAGGAAGCCTGGGTCAAGTTCTCAGTCACTCCTTTCCTAGCCCTGTCTGCTGTTTCCTAATCTATTCTACAGTTATTTATTGGACACTAAATATAGGCCAAGTCCTGTGCTGGGCCCTGGTGGAAAAGCTGTGAATAAATTAGAAAACAATCTCTGTCCACGTGGAGCTTACATTCCAGTGAAATAATGGAAGTGCACATTATTTGAAGATGTGCTTTGTGCATTCTGAGTATCATATTTGATACTTTTAATAATCTAGGTGACAGTTACTATCATATTTATTTTACAGATGGATATGCAGGCTTAGGGAAGTTAACTAACGTGTACCAGGCACAAAGCTGGTAAGGGGCAATCCCAGACAGGTGGTCTGGAGCCCAAGTCTGTACCTTTACCAAGCCTTTTATTCCATGCTGCCTTGATACATGCTTACTGTGTGCATGAATGAATGAATTTCCCAGTACTTTCTGAGCTCTTAATGGATTTTCTTACGGTTTTCTTATGGATTCTTAACTAATTGCATAATCCATGGTTCGGAGTGACAGGCATATCATTTAGGCAAAGTAGTTACTGAGAAATTCAAAGCTATATGTGCATCTATATGGTCACAGAGTTCTTATATCTGAACCTTATCTTCACAAAGGACATAGGAAAGGCCCAACTCAAACTCATTATTTTACTTCCTCTGGGTTTCCATCCACTGGTTCTGTTAGCATAAGGCCATCAGGAAAGAGGCTTGGGGCATTTGGGATGGCTTCGGATGCTAGAAGTGTCCAAGGTCAAAGTCAGTGGGTAAAGAGAAAGAAAGGAATCAGGACCATTAAAAGTGAAGACTTGAAGGGAATTCCCTAGCAGTTCGGTGGTTAGGACTCAGTGCTTTCACTGCCGTGGGCCTGGGTTAAATCCCTGGTTGGGGAACTAAGATCCTGCAAGCTGCATGGTGTGGCCAAAATGAAAAACGTCAAGACTGTGTATTTGCAAGTCTGTGATAGATGAACCCATTAGAACGTCTTTGCTCTGTGTTGTGTTTTCTCCAGAGATGTGAAGCAGACGTAGCCGTATTAGGTTATGTAAGACCATTACCCCTTTGATGTGCTTTTTTTTGACTTCCTTTCCTTTCCTTTCCTTTTTTCTTTTTTCCCCTATTTTCTTCTTACTTGCCTTGGGAAGTTGGCCCATTATATTATTTTGCCAAAGGCCTCTAATAACATTTTAAATGGCTTGTAAAGCTGCTTATGAAACAGCACCAGGGACTTCCCTGCTGGCGTGATGGTTAAGAATCCACCTGCCAATGCAGGGGACAAGGGTTCGAGCCCTGCTCCGGGAGGATCCAACGTGCCGCAGAACAACTAAGCCCGTGTGCCACAACTACTGAGCCCGCGAGCCACAACTACTGAAGCCCGCGCACCTAGAGCCTGTGCTCTGCAACAAGAGAAGCCACCGCAATGAGAAGCCCACGCACCGCAACGAAGAGTAGCCCCCGCTAGACACAACTAGAGAAAACCCGCACACAGCAACGAAGACCCAACGTAGCCAAAAATAAATAACTAAATAAATTTATAGAAACAGCACCAAACAAGTCTGTTGGGTTGAGGGGCATGAATGAAATAAAAGAACTCGTGGGTAGAGGTTAGAAGAGACTGTATGGAAGAGCATCTGAGGTCAATTTTGTACATTCTCCACGCTCTCTGGGTTGCTGCTGTCCCACTGAAGGGCATATACCTTTGAACAGTATGGATGAAAGTCCCAACAATTAGGCAAACCAAAGGCCTAATTCCTGTTCTGTTTAGAGCTCTTTAGTGCATGTTTGTGCCTTTAACGCAAACTGGCGGCCTCTTGGCCAGATCTGGTCCTTAGAGGCATTTTGGCTCCCACAGCTTAAACAAAAAAAACCAAAGGAAAAAGTTGCCAACATTAACAGGTTATTTCATATAAAAATCAAAAGTTCTGATTCCTCTTAGACAATCAGAAGTGTGGCTACATTGGGCTCGTATTTCCCCATTTAAATGTGACCAGGGCTGACTGGTGGCCGGTGTCCATCAGCTTCGCTCCCTCTGTGTGGCTGTGTGTTGCAGTGGTCTGAGCATCTCTATCCGCTCACGTTCTTTGTCTGAACCCTGATGGAATTTGAGGTTGTGACTCCTGGCTCTTTCTGTAAGTGGTAAGTGTGTATGTGTGAGTGTGTGTATGTGTGTGAGTGTCTGTGTCTTTCAGATCTTTAGGTGGAGGCAGGGAAAGTCTGTGTACTTTCAAGAAGAATACTTGATACTCTGTTTTGATTTAGTTTGTTTCTGATCACAGTAATCATTTAGAGAGTCAAATGTCATTAAAGGATGGTTGTGGCTTTGTTATGTTAACCAAAAGCAGACATTGGTAAAAGAGTGATTTTCAAAGAGTAGGTTTCACCAGTTAGTGAGTCATAATGTAAATTAAGCACTTCACCACTGGTATTAAAATATATAATAGAGGGGCTTCCCTGGTGGCGCAGTGGTTAAGAGCCCGCCTGCCGATGCAGGGCCGATGCAGGGGACACGGGTTTGTGCCCCGGTCCAGGAAGATCCCACATGCTGCGGAGCGGCTGGGCCCGTGAGCCATGGCCGCTGAGCCTGCGCGTCCGGAGCCTGTGCTTCGCAACAGCAGAGGCCACAGCAGTGAGAGGCCTGCGTACTACACACACACACACACACACACACACACACACAAATATATATATATATAATAGAAAATATTAACATATTATAAATTGATGTTAGATAAATAGCTAAATAATAACTAGGTGGTAGATAAATAGATCAACAGATGTACTAGGTCACAATCTAAGCTATACTTATTACTGCGGGTTGCCGTTACAAAAACCTTAAAAGCCACTAGATTGTCAAGTTTTAGAAACACAGCTGCAGGGTTTGCTATGAATCAGTTTTCCTACAAATGTTTCCCAGTAACAGGTACTTTCATCCTTTCTGGAACCAAGGTTGGCATCTAAGTAAGTAAAAATGACCTCTGCCCTAGAGGAAACAGAAGACCACCTCTTCCTCTTTAATAATTGATTGAGGTTACCCTCCTCTTAACAAATTATATTTCCATATTTGATGGGAAAAAAAAGCGGTGTGAAAAAATGAAAACCTTGCGGAATTAGGTGCCAAGTAGCAGAGTCAAATTTGTATGGTGGATCAAATAAAGAGGGGATAGCAGTGAGGACTGAAGTATTTTAGGAAGTCTTCAGGAAGGAAATGGGACTTGAGTAAATATGCTTTGAATTTTAGTTTTTAGTTCTTCCTTGGATTAGGATGACTCAATAATTAAAATCACTTGATCAACCTCATAAGCTAGTTCTTTATATTAGCTGGTTGAAAGAGCCTTCTGGTTTTTCTCTTCTTACATGGTCCATATTAGTGAAATTCAAGCGAGGCAGGTTTTGACCAATTAACGTATGCTATGCTATATGTGCTGAAAATTGCCATATGGCCGTGGTATTGAGCCAACTGTGGGAAAGAAGGATAAGTCTTCCTTTCTTATTGCACTAACTGCATAGACTGGAATAGATAAAATATTTAACAGGTTTGGGTTGAAAATTTGCTTGGTTTCCATGCTGTGTTAAAAAGTTCTTTAGGTGTGAGCCTCTAGATGTGAGCAAAACTCAGGCATTAAGGCCAGTATTCAGTTTTTCAGCAAGAGATTCTGAGGTGGAAGGAGTGGAATTGTATTTTAGAATAATTAAGTAATTATTAATAATTATAAATAATGTAATAATTAAATATTGTTCTTTAAAACAAAAACAACCTCTTAGTTTATCTTTGATATACGTATGTATCAAAATCAGAACTTTAAAAAATATCCTTTTAAAAATTATCCTTGATAATAGGATTTTGTCCAAGTCTTTAAAAATATTTAGAGTAATGAAATATATTTATTAATTATATATAACACACTATACATATATATATACGTATATGTATGTGTGTGTGTGTGCGTGTATATATAGTAGTTAAAACACATTTATTTGGTTCTTGCCTAATTATGTGTACCTATCTTCCATTATTAATATAATTCATTTTTTAACAGTCTGAGGTAGAAATGATCCTCTTCTTAATCCTTAACATTAATGTTGAAACCCATCTAGCTTTCCTTGAGTAACTTCTCTTATGTTCCACACATTAATTCAGCAAAGTTATGTTCATTTAAAAAAAAAAACCTCTTAGCTGTGTTTGGTTCATCTCATGGAGTGAACACCTAGAGAAAAATTTGATCTGTGATTTGGGAAAGCATAGTTGCCTTTGGGAACGAAATCATTCTTCAAGCCATTGTCTGTAAGGAAGGTTACAGACCTTAAAAGCCTTCATAGAATCCTTCTTTTACCTCTGAGCTACATGGCGCCGTTTCTGATGAGTTTCTGACTCACGGACTGTGATGGGAAGGCCGTAGCACAGGTGTCCTCTTTGAGAGTCATACAGGAAGTGGAGGGATTATACTAAGAATCCAGAAACAGCTTATTAACCTTCTATGACAAAACCTTCAGGACAAAAAACATTGGGCACCATTTTGGTTTAGAGTAATTGGTTCCCTGTCCTTATTAATACCAATTCATCGGACACTTTGATTCTAGTTAACTCTGTTTAGCACATGTGAGCAAGAATCCTAATCTCATACAAAATAAATGAGCCTCGTATCAGACTATTCTAGGCTTTAGGTGCATTGAACTTGTAGGAGCTGGTTTTCAGAAGCTCTCTGTCTTTGTTTTCACAGGATGTGTGAGACTGGTGAAGGGCTGTTTATCTTTCAGACGCGAGATGGGGAGGCCATCTACCAGAAAGTCCACTCTGCTGCCTTGGCCATAGCCGAGCAGCACGAGCGCTTGCTACAGAGCGTGAAAAATTCAATGGTACGTGTGGAATTTCTTGCTTATGACCCAGTGTATGCCGCTGTAGAATTTAGTCTTGTAATCTTCGTGCTGAAAATATGGTCAGTATATTTTGGGGCAGAAGATTTACTCCTGTACTCAGCAATGTAGTACTTGGATTAAATGCCATCCTTGGAAAGCTCCAAAAGGCCACCTGGTAACACAGTAACTCTACACCGCCTCGTCATCTGCTTACCCACTTTTTGCCTCAGTTGTTACCTGTGTGTTTAATCAATGTGGGCTCCTACAACAAAATACCATAGACTGAGTGAGTCATAGAAAACAAATTTATTTATTTCTCACTGGGAGGTTGGGAAGTCCAAGATCAAGGTGCCGGCGGATTCCGGTGGGACCCGCTTCCTGGTTCATGGATGGCTGTCTTTTCACTGTGTCTCATATGGCAGAAAGGGTGAGAGATCTCTGTGGGGTCTCTTTTGTAAGAGCGCTAATGCCATTCATGATGGCTCTGCCCTCATGACCTAAGCATCTCCCATAGGCCCTGCCTTCTAATGCCATCACTTTGGGGGTTAAGATTTGAGCATATGAATTTGGGGGTGGGGGACACAATATTCAGTCCATTGCAGTGTGTGTGTATGTACATTAAAATCAATTTGGATATGTATGGACATCTATAGACACAGCTATGTGGGTTATCTATCTATAGATATATATAATATTTTTAACTGTAGCAGAAGTTGTGATTTCAAATGTCAGCAGAGGTCAGAGAGAAAATGAAGGTGAGAGAAGAGGGCTGAGAGGAAACTGGGGTGAAATATCAAAAGCTCAAGACCAGACAACTGTCGACATGAGATCGTGGTTTCCGTGTAGGAGAGTTCTTGACTTTTTCCAGATAAGTCAAGAATTTGACTGTTTATAGTATCTTCCCGTTTGTAACTGTTGGAAATTAATTCCAGCTGAAACCAACAACCAAAACCAGTAATGCTTTGTGGGACAAAGGAAACCTACCTGTAAGACTCCATCCTGCCCGCAGCCATGCATTTGCCATCTCTAGTGGATAAACCTTCATAGTCATCAACGTATAAAAACACTGCAAACGCAAATACACATGAGCGTACGTAAATGCTCTCCCAGAACCCCTACTCTTTTCATTGCTTAGTGCCAGGGACTGTGCGTTGTACAGACAATTATGATTCATGAGTTTCTTCTTTAAGAACAGTAAATTTACAAAATCCGAAATGAATGTACAACAGTTAAATAATGCAAATCATGCAGTGTGGCTGCAAACACATGCATAGAGATTCACATCTGGAAAGAAATCTGCAAAACCAAAAGGAACTGGGTTGGCATGGTAAGGTTAGGGCCGTTTGAAAAGTTATGATTTAACCATGTGGGGTGGTTGGATTTAAAGGTGGGAAAAGCATGTAGTATAATCTATCCCAAAGGATCCCCAGATTATTCCCGAACGACTTGTGCATGCAGCGCTCTGGGATTTTAGAGCAGGGATCAGCAAAACTTTAGTAAAGGGCGAGATAGTAATATTTTAGGCTTTGTGGTCAAAGATGGTTTCTGCCGCAGCTGTTTAACTTTGCCATTGTAAAGCAAAAGCGAGCAAAAGGAGAGAAGGAGGGAGGGAGGAGAATTCAAGTTGTTTTGAACTTACAGGGCAATGTCATTGCATTAAAGTTGTGGGCTACACAAGATGCCTTTAAAGGTCTGAAGAAGTTTTTTTAAGGTTACCTTTTTGTAAAGCCATCGATTAGCACACATCGTTATCTACTTGAAAAGCAGGTTCTGCACGCACATGTTTTTCCATTTACGCCTCCTCATTACTTCCACTAAAAATTAATCAGGAGTATGAGTAATTCGTTCAGATCATCCTTTTGCAGATTTAACTGGAATATAATGTTGTTTGCTCTTAATTTGCTGTATGCTTAACAAGCTCTATAAAATGAATGATTTTAAAAGTAAACACATCCTGTTTTAGATGGAAATGAGTAAGCTTCAAAATGGGATCTGAATCTCAAGGAAGTTAAACCGGGGATTGTGAAATGCTTAAAAATCAACATCCTTCAATCCATCTCTGATTAGGGGAGAAAAGAGATACTGTGCTAAAATGAAACAAATGAAGGTGATACTAAAGCCCCTAAGTTAGAGTTTTGCATTTTCTGGTCACTGGGAGTGGATCCACACGGATTGGCTCTATTCTTGACTAGGAATTGCCTTTATGCCACTACTGGCTTGCTTCTCTGAGATGGTCAAGGTCAAGAATGGAGAAAGATGGTGACGCTAACCTCATTATTCGGAAGCCCTACCCCACTGTTAGCTGCCACTAACTCCCAAGACAGAATGCTTCACTGTGGAACGCATGACAGTTTGAAGTTGCAGCCTTGAGTGAAGGGGTTTGGATCAGACATATGACCTTGAATCCCAGAAGTCAGAAAGAGGAGACTTGTGGGTCAGATAGTAATAATAACTTTTATTTTATTATCATCATCATTATAGTCATTATTGCGGTAGGCTGAACAATAGCTCCCCCAAATCTTTCCCACCTTAATCCCTGGAACCTGTGGACATTACCTTATATGGCAGAAGGGACTTTGCAGATGTGATTAAGTTAAAGCTCTTGAGATGGGGAGATTGTCCTGGATTATCCAGGTGGGCCCAGTGTCATCACAAGGTCCTTGTAAGAAGGAAGCCAGAGGAGTGAGAGCCAGATGGAAGGTGATGTGGCGATGGAAGCAGAGGGACACACAGAGATTTTTGAAGGGTCTGTGCTGATGGTTTGAAGGTAGAAAGAGATGTGACCCAAAGGATATAGGTGGCCTCTAGAAACTAGAAAAAGCAAGGAAATGGATTCCCCCCTGGAACCTCCAAAAGGAACCAGCCCAGCTGACACCTTGACTTTAGCACAGTGAATCTGATTTCAGACCTCTGGCCTCCAGAGCCGTAAGGGGATAAATTTGTGTGGTTGTATGCCACCAGTGTTGTGGGAATTTGTTACGACAGCTATAGGTAACGACTACAATAATAATATCAAAAATAATAAAAATGTATCGTGTCTCTACTCTGTAGCAGACAATATTTTAAGGACTTTGTGTGTACTTTCTAACCCTCCCAATGACCCTTGGAGGGAGGGCCCAGCACCACCAGCTTGGAAGTAGTGGGGCTCCAATTTGGAGCAAGTGTGCTGGGATAACCCCACTTTACACTTTATCTCGGACTCAAGCCCCTAGACACGTTTTCTTTGCCCTGCATGAGATCAGGTCACTGCTGTTCTAAAAATTCCAAATTAACGGCTGACATTTAAAAGTTAAGGGGTTTCACATAAAACTCAGATTTCTGTAGTATCTTAGAAAGTGAAAAGGCCACACTGATCTCACACCCCCATGTGGCAACCATCGGATATGCCTGGTGGTGCCTTCCCTCTTTAGGTAGAATGGGGATCTTCAGTTCTCCACAGTCCCTACCACTCTCCATTGTCACTCAGCAAGTGGTCCTTCTCTGGGCATTTGCTAGCCATGCTGTGGCCAATTGATGTCCTGCCTATGTTACATGTATAAGTTTTCTGTTGCTGTGTAACAAAGTGCCACAAACTGTGCACCCTAAAACAACACACGTATGTTATCTCATAGTTGCCATGGGTCAAGAATGTTGGCATGGCTTACATGGGCCCCCAGGTTCAGATTCTCACAAGGCTGAGGTACTCTAGTCTCATCTTAAGGTTAGACTGGGGAACGACCCACTCACAAGCTCACAGTGGTTGTTAGTGGAAGTCAGTTCCTTAGGGCTGCAGGATCAAGGGCCTCAGTTTCTTGTTGGCTAGTGGATGGAGGCCATCCTTAGCTCCCAGGGACCACCCTCAGCTTCTTGTCATGTGGGCTTCCCAACATAGCCACTTGCTTCATCAAAGCCAGCAAGACCACAATCCTATGTATCCTAACCATGGTCGTGACATCCCATCATCCCGTCAGAGGCTATTGGTTGGAAGCAAGTCACAAGTCCTTCCCACAGTCACGAGAGAGAGGGGACCACACAAGGGTGTGCGCACCTAGAGGAGGAGATCAGGGGGCCACCTTAGTGTCTGTCCCCATACCATGCAAACTTCTGGAATAATGTTTATTTAGTGCTTTGATTTTACCTTTTAAGTATGTTTCCTGCTTTATGGCGTGTTGCTAATAATGCCATTTATTTATGAAGCATCTGCTAAATGCCAGGCTCTTTAGCAACAACAACCGTACCACTTATCAAGCCAGGCACTTTACTCGCTTTTTCTCTAATCACCACGATATCTCTGTGAAGTAGACTTATTCATTCGTTCTCATTTATTAGTTCCTTCAAATATGTTTATTGTGGACATAATATGCTGTAGGATATAGCGGTAATTGACAGGTAAAGCCTATGATCCCATGGGTCTTATAATTCAAGGGAGTATTATTCATGACCCTTGACCTGGAAGGAATCACTCTCCAGATCTTATAGACGAGAAAACAGATGCTCACAGTGGTTAAGTCACTTGCCCACAGCCATAGAGCTCATTACTGTTGGAGCCAGAAATGCAGGATCCTTTTATTTGGTTGCTAAACCTCTACCTCTGGCCACAATGCCTTACTCCCCAGAAGGGTTTTAAAGCCCTTCTGTTTCTTTTATATCCGCACTGAGAACTGTCTTGGCATTTTCAGATTACCCTGAATATCAGAATACCTTTCAGAAATACATATCAACTCAGAGTATATGTTAAAAAATTACTGTTATAAGAAATCTCGTTTCTTTTGGTACTTTTGGGACCAGATAGCAATCATGTTTCTCATAATTCTTCCTCCACCCCCTCTCCTTTTAAATTCAATGTATTATGATTCATTCTAAACGGGGTGTAGAAGAGGGTGGGCGGGCCTGAGGTATTAGGGGAAGGACTAACTGTTGAATGAGATGGAGCCACAGGAACTCTTTGCTCACAAGCTGCGAGCTGCCTTGCTGGAGCAGCTACAGGGAAACTCTGCCGGGACAGTTTGGGACTCCCCCGA